TCACACGTCTTGTGGAGCGCTTTCAGAGTATGCATTTATTTGTCAGTTGAACTGTTTGGAAACGGAGCGTAAATGTGGAAGTCCTTCAAAGATTTCTTATCCTGTTGCGCCCTCTATAGGACCAGCGACTAGTCGACGTCAAGCTTAAAGCATCATGGCAGAGCACTGAAGTCGACTAGTCGATTAGTCGGTGCAACCCCTAGTCTATGCATGATCGGAAGCCTCTCTTTATAAATGTTTCTAGATTTGTACTATATCCCTTGTGCTCTTTAGTGTTCCCCAGGCTTATTTCGAAGCATTTTAAGGTGTTTAAGCAATTTTTAACAAAGATTTTACAAAAATTTAGCTATTTAAATGAGTTTGATTTCATTTTGATATCATCCTTTGTATAATTCTGATGTTTTTTAGGGAGACAGAGGCCTTTCAGGTCCAGCAGGAGACAAGGTGAGCCCTTAAGCTACAGTACATAAAGCATTGATATATATTCTTATTAGAGAGCTGTGGGTTATGCTGTGCTTGTTTGTGTCTGGTTTTGTTTGTATGCTAGGGAGATAAAGGTTCAGCAGGCCCCCCTGGACCTCAAGGACTGAGGGTGAGTGGCTGCACAAGCCATGATAAGTCACAAGACATGTGAATATGCATGAGTGTACATGCGTGCTGTAAATTATTTATATGTGCCTTCAGGGATTTCCAGGGAGTAGTGGCCTTTCTGGAGAAAAGGTAAGTTAAGATTTCAGCATTATTTTCAAATATCTACTTTATTTTGTACTGTAATTTTATTAATTAATGAATTTATTCATTTATTTATGTGTCTCTGTCTGCTTTAAGGGTGCTGAGGGTGGAAAAGGGCAACCAGGAAGCTGTGTAAGACCAGAATAGTAATGTTTTTAAATTCATATGAACATTTCATTTCATTTGTAATGGTCCTCTTGACATTTTTCCCTGTGGCTTTTTTAGGACTGTCAAGGTTCATTTGGGAAGAAAGGAGAGCGGGTATGACTTTTGAGAACAATGCGGAGACTCTGTCTATGTCAGATAACAGTATTTCTGTTTTATTCTTATGTTAAGTCCTTTTTTATATTAACATTCAAATGGTACAAACCCACTCAAATCAGATTTTTACTGCTGAAGTTCCATTCAAAAGGCCCCCCTGGACCTCAAGGACTGAGGGTGAGTGGCTGCACAAGCCATGATAAGTCACAAGACATGTGAATATGCATGAGTGTACATGCGTGCTGTAAATTATTTATATGTGCCTTCAGGGATTTCCAGGGAGTAGTGGCCTTTCTGGAGAAAAGGTAAGTTAAGATTTCAGCATTATTTTCAAATATCTACTTTATTTTGTACTGTAATTTTATTAATTAATGAATTTATTCATTTATTTATGTGTCTCTGTCTGCTTTAAGGGTGCTGAGGGTGGAAAAGGGCAACCAGGAAGCTGTGTAAGACCAGAATAGTAATGTTTTTAAATTCATATGAACATTTCATTTCATTTGTAATGGTCCTCTTGACATTTTTCCCTGTGGCTTTTTTAGGACTGTCAAGGTTCATTTGGGAAGAAAGGAGAGCGGGTATGACTTTTGAGAACAATGCGGAGACTCTGTCTATGTCAGATAACAGTATTTCTGTTTTATTCTTATGTTAAGTCCTTTTTTATATTAACATTCAAATGGTACAAACCCACTCAAATCAGATTTTTACTGCTGAAGTTCCATTCAAAAATTCAACTATTTTAACTCTTCCTTTTCTTCCTATAGGGTGAAAGGGGCCTCCCAGGTCCTGATGGCGGTAAAGGTATTGAAGGAGATGCAGGACAAAAAGGGGAAAGAGTGAGTTTTGTGAATGAATGAAGGTGTTCATCTGGGAAATGTCTGACTGGATGTGATAGTGAGGACATTTTAAAATAGAAATTACACTTACACTTTCACATTGAGTTTACAAGTTTATCACACATACTTGTGAAATAAAAGCTTTTATTATTATTATTATTATTATTATTATTATGCAGAATTTTTAAAATAATTTATAAGATTGATTTCAAGGTACATCTGAAATTGTGAAACCGTATGATTGGAACTTTCTAATCTATCCCACAGGGTGCCCCTGGAGCAGGACAGCCTGGCCAACCTGGACCTAAAGGGGACCAGGGTGATCAGGTAAGTTTGTCTTCATACACTATATAAACTAGATTTGCATTTCCAGATGAAAATGCCAGAGTTTATAAGGCAGTAGAAGTATTAAGGTAAAGCTTCAGTTTTAGGCTTTGGTTTTACATAATTGAAATACAGAATCAGCTACTGTTGTATAAATCATAATATTTAACATACTGCTTATTTATTTAAACAGGGTCTCACTGGATTGTCTGGAAAACCTGGTTTGAAGGTAAAGTAAAAACTTTCTCTCTCACTCCAGTGACTCCAGAGCATATGTTCATGCAAATGACTCAGCATTAGCCTGAATAAGTTGTCATACATTGCACCCTGTCTTTTCTCTGTGTGACTCTAGGGCAGTCAAGGTGACCCGGGGGAGAGAGGGGAGGCAGGAAGTCCTGGTCCACAGGGGCCCATGGGTCCCAGAGGGAAGGATGTGAGAGTCTGCACCCATTTGTACATGAACTAAAACTACTAAAAGCTGCTTCTAACAACTTCATCTGCAACTAATGCTCATCAACTAACATTTTTGTTAGGCATAAGTGTGTCACCCTTAACATATCAGGTGTTTTGAAAGTTAGCTCTTTCTACTTTAGCCTTATAAATAATCTGCTTTGGTAATGAGATTTATTCAGTGCTTTTTAAAAAAACATTTAACTCTTTCTTGTTTTTCTTCTAACATCTTTCTTTCTTACTGAAGTAACAAGTAGTCAAGGTAATCCTTGTCTTCAGATTCTGCTCCACACTTGCTTAAAGCTACTGTATTTGTACATCATTCATGACATTGTAATTATTTTAGTGAATAATTAACATAGCTAAGATACAGTAACTATTGTCAGGAAGTCTGATCTGTTATTTTGTTTCTGTAGGGACTAAACGGAGACAAAGGAGAGGATGGCATTCCAGTGAGTTTTTTTTCATCATTCCTGTATTTGTGATAATGTTTGTGTTTTGTATGTAATTTTGCTCTGTTTCTCTTGTCTCTAAGGGCGAATCAGGGTTGGCGGGTAAACCAGGGGAGAGAGGTCTAAGAGTGAGTACACAGATTTGTTATCTGATGCTGCGAATCATTGTGCTATTCCAGCTACATCCTAACAGTGGTGTTTTAATATTCCAGGGACTGCCAGGTCAACTAGGTCAACCTGGGCTAAAAGGAGACACGGGTGATCCAGGGGAAGATGGAAGAAATGTAAGACATATAGCTACCTAAATGTATTTCAGCAGAATTTTGAATGAAAGAAATTATGAAAGAACTAAATGAAATTATGTTAATACAAGGTACAACATTAAAGCACAAGGAATATGACTATCAATAGAATAGATATTACAATAGATTAATAGTGAAACAGGAATATTTAGATCCTCATTTTGTCAGCAAATATAATTTATTTTTACATCCTTTATTTGTAGTTGCTATGAAATTATATATGGTTCATTGTATATAACGACCTGCAATCTTAAGAGCTCAACATATTGAAATCCAGGCCCATAACCCCAAAACTAATGTTTTTTTTGGATAATGAATTTATTGGATAACACAACCATGTAGTTAAAAAAACCCACCTTGCCTTTAAATAAAACAACACCGGATCAACGCTGCAAGGTATTTAGGACTATTGGTTTAGATTATTGTGTTATTTTTGTCTAGTCATGTGATCAGTGATTTGCTCTGTGCAGGGTACCCCAGGTCCCACCGGACCAAGAGGCCCAAAGGGAGAACAGGTGAAATATCAGAAACTTCTCACTCAACACATTCACTCATGTTTGGACCTCCACACAAGCACTGAAATTGTCATCTAACTATCTTTATTTTGGGTCATTACAGGGAATACAAGGTCCCCCTGGGCCACCTGGTGATGTGGTATGTTTTTAAGTCATTATTGTCTCACTGTACTTTTTTTTCTACACCTCCTGTTTATTTAAATAACCTGTTGTTTTTTAACTCTTTTGAATTTGTTCATTCTCTTAGACATCTGGAGAGAAACAACTGAAAGGTGACAGAGGAGAAAAGGTACAGTAAAATGTTCATTGTGTTTAAATTCCGTCTATCATGCATATTCTGGTTTTGTTATTGTGATACCCTTGTTTTAACACCAGGGAGAGGCAGGTGACCCAGGGGAGCACGGGGCTAAGGGTCCAAAGGGTGAACCAGGAGCTTCAGGCCCGCCAGGACCAAGCGTAAGTCCATATGGTGATCAGACAGTATGTGTAACTGGGAGTAATGTGATTTGTATCTCAACCTATTTGTTTTTTAGGGTCCTGAGGGGCCGCGTGGGCTATCAGGAGCCAGAGTAAGAACCTCCTACTGCTTTTGTGCCTTTTAGCTATTTAGACATTTCTTTGATCTGTATGTGTATCGGTTTGTGTCTTTCTCTATGGCCGCAAACACACTGACTATAAATGTAGTGATATACTTAATCCCATTCAAACACACAGTTATTTAGGACAGTGGCAACCATATTATAAAACTGAATTCATTTCATTCTAAACATTCAGATGACTGATTTCTCATGAATTCTCCACTGTAGTACGACACCAGGGGTCATTATTTTTAATAGCAGATTGTACATCTCATTCTGCTCTCTGTTTTTTTTTCTAGGGTGACCAAGGCGATAGGGGCAGTCCAGGAGACAAGGTAAGAGAGCCAGTTTTCTTGGTTTACTGTGGGGCGTCACACTCAATTTTTTTGAGCCCATTAACATGACCACAAGACATGAAATACAAAACATATTTAGCACAACAAACATTTTTAAAAACATTGTTAAAAATCAGCTTTGTTTGAGTGACAGATTCTGACAGGAAGTTGTATTAGCCTAAAGATTAAGGAACTGCACTACTTAATGCAAAGGTTGAAGAATCAGTTTTATATTTGGGTGGTATTCTTTCGGCACCTCACGATTCGATTAAATTTTGATTCAGGGAATCATGATGCAATTACTAAACAATATTTGATGCATACATTTTTCAACAGTGCCTTTTAGCCCCAGATCATTTTAAATAAATCATGCATTAGACCTAGAGCCTTTCCGACATATGTGGAAGCTTTGGGTTGCTTAAGGGTTCTCTGTTAGAATTGACAGATGTGAACAGGCTGTTGTTTCTCCAGCTCCAGATGGATACATGAAATGTTTTTTTAATGTCATGTTTCTGAAAGTTTAATTTGAGTGTGGCATATTTGTTTTTACAACACTTGTTTTACAGAAAGAAAAAAAAAACAGAAAAAAAACTAAATTAAAATTCTTATTATGATTATTGTTCGTTTTTATTATTTGTTCATTGACAGTTTTCTGGTAATGATTTTTTTCCTAGCTAATAACTATGATCAGTATCTAGCTTAATCACCGTTGAGCAAAACATTTACCCAAAAGCTTCTAAATAATGAAACTGGGCTTACAATCTTTGTATTTGTATATGTATATAATATACTAAATCTAATATGCTGATATGGTGTTTAAAGGGGTCATATGATGCGATTTCAATTTTTCCTTTCTCTTTGGAGTGTTACAAGCTCTTGGTGCATAAAGAAGATCTGTAAAGTTGCATAGACTAAAGTCTCAAATCCAAAGAGATATTCTATATAAAAGTTAAGAGTCAGATGAATAGAAGATTCAGAAGAACAGCATTTATTTGAAACAGATTTTTTGTGACAATGTCAAAATCTTTACTGTCACTTTTGATCAATATATACTAATAAAGTATTCATAAAGTAAAGTTAATTAATAAAGTATTAATTTACTTAAAAAATAGTTAAATAGTAGTGTATATTGTAAGTCTTTTTTAATGAGAAGCAAGTGCGAAGTACTGTCAATTACTTTTTGAATGAGGCATCTATAAAATAAGCAGCTTCCTTAAACATCTCTTCAAAAGCAGGTGTAAGCACCCCTGCAAAAATCATTCTATTTTAGAGTGCAGCAATGACAATATTTTGAAAGTGAGTGTCATACAGCGGTAGACAGCTGAAAAATGGCTAAAATGGTACACTGGCTGCAGTAATCAGTGTAAAGTATAAATATAACGCTTAGTCATGGATCTCTCTATACTGCAGAAGCTGTGACACACTTCATTATGTCAGGTTTGTTTTACCTCTTGGGGTTTTAAATAGCAGGTCTCACCAGAGCTGCAATTCTTTGTTATTGGCTGTCTGCAAGACTGTGTAGCGAATCAGCTCATGGGGAAATATGAATAATTAATCATAACTAGTTATAATTAATTATAAATATTTAGATCCGCTGTAGATATTTACTTGACCTCTCAGGGTCAACTGTCTGTCAATTCTAAGAACGTTAATTTCCTGGTTAAGGGAAATAACTTTCTTACTGTACAACTCTACACAGAGCCTGTAGCATAAATCTGCAGTTATGAGCAAACAATGACCAACGTCAAGTGTGATACAAGTAAGACTTTATTAACTACATAAACACTTAAACTAGTCCAACATACTACATAAACACTTAAACTAGTCCAACATGCCATTAGGTCGTAAATGGATCTGGTCTAGCAGAGGTGTCGTGGTTGCCATGGGTACCAGGGGGGGGGCCTGGTGTCGTTGCAGACATCCTGGCATCCAGTTTATTGGGTGAGGGGACTGTGACGATTTGTTAATCTAATGAATAACTGATTTGTTAAATCAAATGAAAAATTGTGTGTTTGATTGGTCCAGACGCTACAACTGTTTGATCTTTGTTTAACATTTGTGCTACAGAATTGAAACAAGGCTTTGTTTCGTAGTGGGAGGAAATGAGAAAACAAGATCTCAGTGATGTCTCGAGGAATATTGTAAACCATGTTGTGGCTTTCTGCTTCCTGTCAGAGAGACGTATAGCCAATTAGTTTATATCTGACCTTTGTATACTTATACCAGTCCTCATCTAATTTATCCTTTTGATCTCTGTTCCTTTCATAATCATTGTGTAGGTTTCTTCATTGATTTTATTACATTAATTAAGCTGATGACTGCTGCTTTTTGCATGCATATGTGTGATGCTGTCAGAAAGGTGTTATTAGTGACAAAGATTGGATCTGTCAGTCAACCCATTCTCATTATTATTCATTTAAATTGGTGACGACCCAATGCTGAGAAAATGGAAACTGATTTTTGACAGTGATGTTGACTGTTTTTTGTGTATGTGTGTGTCACAGACTAGTTAATATTGATTGTTTCTGTATATGTGCGCATGCGTGTGCAGGGAGAAAGAGGAGCGGCTGGTTTGGATGGACGACCCAGTCAGGATGGGAAACCTGGGCCGCCTGGAACTCCTGGATTACGGGTCAGATTACTTCAGTCCTTGCATCAGCTTCATATTCAAAGAATCTAATCAATCTAAATCTTGCTGTAAATGTTTTTGGTTTTGTAGGGTGACCCAGGAAAACAAGGGGATCCTGGAAGAGATGTGAGTACTCCAGTCTCTCCATATGTCAAATAATTTGTTTGTTGCATCATGATGTTGCCACTGTTTGCTGCAACAAATCAATCCAGTTTTTAATCTGTTTAACATTTAATTGTTCCCTAGGGCTTGGCTGGACTAAGAGGGCCTCAGGGACCTCCAGGACCACCTGGGCCCCCAGGAGCTAATGGCACACCTGTGAGTAATAACACAGCTTAATCTATGGAAACCATTTATCCATACAAATTCACATACTGGAGCATAAACACGTTATCACATCAATATAATGTTATGCTTTATTCCAGGGTAAAGCAGGGGAGGATGGGAAACCAGGACTGCCTGGAAAACCTGTAAGTACTGATGTAATCTTAATGAAAACCCAACATCCTTTCAGAAACCTTTGTTGATATACTGTATATCAGTAGCATGTGTTAATTTCCAAGCCAGCACTTAAATCCTGAGGCTTTTCTTTTGTTATCAAGGCTCAATCTAGAATGCAGCATGCAAACTCTCGTTGCAGTTTAGTAACCACACCACAGCCCTTGTCCCCCATAAATGAGACGATTAAACCATCCTGCTGATAATAAATCACCCTCTTAGCAGCCTAATGAGCTTTCAGTGGGAGGTAACTCTGCCTAATAAATGCTTTATAGTTAAAATATGTGAGGAGTTTCAGTCAGCCGTGTACTAATGTTCGGTTAACCTGACTCAGATAGATAATGCCGCTGGAGCTGAGCTTACGCAAAACGCGCTTGTCCTGCAGTTTCTTCTGATTTACTGATCACAGCCCTGAACCAGCTGTGGTAATTGCAGGAGCTATATTGGGCTGGATGGCACCCGTCGTATATCTGTAATACGAGGCTGCGTGTCGCACGAAGCGTTTAGAAGAGAAATTACTGCTTGAATGAGTCGCACAAAATTACAAGAGTTCTCATACCAAAACAGGAAGAGCTGATTACAGGAAGTCTTGATTACAGAAATTATGAAAACGCGCCTCGCACTCATCCAGATGTCTGTGTTTAATACCTAATTTTCTATCAAACTTTTTCAGGGCGAGGATGGTGTGCCAGGAGAGGATGGTCGAAAGGTAATATAACACCTATTGCTGAAAGCTTGTGTATTATTGCATTGTAATTTTTGATAATTAGCCTCTGATCAAATCTGGTTATGTCTTATTTGCAGGGAGATAAAGGAGAGTCGGGGGCCGCTGGAAGAGATGTGAGTCTCTTGTCTTTATCTTCCTGATCATCCTGTTCTCACTCTCTTCCTGCCTTTCACAACACAAGACAAGTCCATCACAGCTGGGGAGAAAAAGGAGATGTCGGACCTAGAGGCCCTCCAGGAGCAGATGTGAGTTAAAATCGTGCATATGTCCAACAGAGTGGTCTCTGGTAGTTTAATAGTTGGATGAGTAGTGTGTTATGGTACATGAAGATCATGCAAAAACTCATTGGGCACTGACCATGGTGCTGAAATGTATTTCTGGTTAGAATACATCAGTCAACTCTATATTTCTTTCTTGTCTCATCCTCTCCCCTTCTTTCTTTTTTAAACCTTGTTCTTTCTTCCTTGCATACTGGCATTCAGGGTGTAAGGGGTTATCCGGGTGAACGAGGTGTGAAAGGAGAGCAGGGTGAGAAAGGGCCTGCTGGCCCACAGGGTCCTCCAGGCAGGGCAATTGGAGAAAGAGGCCCAGAAGGTCCACCAGGACAGGCAGGTGAACCCGGAAAACCAGGAATACCAGGAGTACCAGGACGTGCGGGTGAACTTGGAGAAGCTGGCAGACCTGGGGACAAGGTAAAGAGAATAAGAGCATTGGTATTTTGTTACTATAGCTGTTTTATGTCTTTTAGGAGATAAAGAGCTGATTAAAGAAAGCACTTGATATAAAGTTATTGTAGAAATTAGATTAAACTTTGTCTTTGTTGCAGGGGGAAAAAGGGGAGAAAGGGGACAGAGGGCCAGCTGTAAGTACCATTACTATAATTCATGCATGCTCACGCAAGATCCAAAATTAACTTGCCTATATTGCTAATGGCAGTTGAATTAAAAAAATGCTCCAGCAAAATTAAATAAATAAATAAATACATTTATTTTGCTGGTGCATTTTCTTTCATAATGTATGTATAAAGTGTAATTTCCGACGACAGAATTTTGCTCGCATATGGTGCTTGGTGTGTGTTCAAACTCTACTTTCTTGTTTTCATATGGAATAAATCTTCTCTTTTTTAGGGTCCGGCTGGATTGCCTGGCCTAGGGGGGCCTCCAGGACCAAAGGTAAAACAAAATAAAGCTCACATTTGTAGTGCACTAAGGGAAGTTGAGAATTGAATTTTGTCAATTTTGTGTGTACTAACATATTGAGCATGTGTGTGTGTGTGTGTGTGTGTGTGTGTGTGTGTGTGTTTTTAAGGGGGATTCTGTCTCTGCTCAGAGTGGTTTGCCTGGTCCAAGGGGTCTTCCAGGCCCCCAAGGTATCAGAGGAGATGCTGGTCCAGTAGGACCTCCTGGGCCTACAGGAGAGAGGGTGAGGGTTCTGAAACATTTATCAGAGAAAATTCTTACATTTCTTAAATTTGGGGACGGAAACACAAGAATTGCAATATAGCATAATGTGACAATTTAACTTTAAAAGGCTGTGATTTCATTGAAGAAATCTGAGCACTACACCTTTCAAAGTCAGGTGTTGCTGCTTTGTGTACTGAGATTACCGTGGAAACCGCTATATTTCTGTAGTTCTGAAAGTGCCTCCTGCTGGCAGAGAATAAATGTGCGTTTTCAAAAAGCCAGTCTGCTGTTTTTGTTCAGACCAAAGCAAAAATCTACCCGTATTTTTATGCAGCAAACACGAAGAGTTGTAAATGTGAACTGGTGGAGATAAGATATATTTCTTATTAAATTAAAGGGGTCATATGATGCTGCTAAAAAGAACAGTATTTGGTTGATTCATAGTAATTGTTCGAATTAATATAATAATTGATACTTTTGACTTTTGAATCACTTTTCTTATGAATAGTTTAAAGGCTAAAATGTTTTTATAAAACTTTTTGTGAAAACCGTTATCTGAACTGTAAATTGTGCTTTTTACAGTCATTTTACAGTTTAACATATTACCATAGACATTGCCCTACCCTGCTCATATGGTAATAATTTTATCTGTGTAGGTCTTAAAAAGGTCTTAAAAAGTCTTAAATTTGATTTAAATAATCCTGCAGATACACTGTTTATATGTGTGGCAGCATGCTACCTTATAGGTTTGTGACCTTAGTTGACGATCTGATCTGTGATGTGTCCCTCTCACAGGGCTACACGGGTTCTCGTGGGGAGAAGGGAGACAAAGGAGCCAGTGGAGAAAGTGGAAAAGATGGCTCCCCAGTGAGTATACCCTTTTACTGGCCTCAACTGGCAATAGAACTTAGTCTCTATTCATTTAATTTTACAATAAAACTGGTACTTTTATCTTAGGGAAGTCCAGGAGAGCCAGGAAAACCAGGGCCGGATGGGAAGCCGGTGAGAAACAAATTTCAGTTGCTATGTTGCCAGTTTATTATTAAAATAAATTTTAATTGCTCTTTGTCTAATTAATGTTGATGTTATTGTTTGATGTGTGCTAAGGCAAGCATCATTATTAGTTTTGCTCATACTTATTAGATAGATACACTAAATATTAAACTTTGGTGTGTAACTTATCCTGCACCATTTGTAGATAGTGTGGCTTGTTGTGGAGAATTGTGCTGTTACTTTTTTAAGTGATGTGACAGTTTTTGTCTGGTGGACGATAAAACAGGCAAAAAAAATTCACACAAACTGAAACTGTATATGATACTGAGGGACCTGTTACTTATCTATGAACCAGAATGTCCTTAACACAGGCAGGCATCTCCTTCCGATGATGCCTAATGCATTCCTATGATATAACAGTCATGCACATTGGTCTACTGTAATTACAACAAACCAAAGTAAGATGACCAGAGAATGGTGAGTCCCACAAATATTGCTCTCAGTTAAGAGCCTGGTAATGTTTTGTGAACAATGCAGAACTTTAAAACCAGATTAAAGTTTAAGTTTAGATTGCCTTTCATCACTTACAGTGATAGATAAGTCAAGTCATATGGTATTGTAGTAGCAATACAGTATGAAAACATGTTGTCACTCATGAAATGGAGATGAAAAGAGAGTTTAGCATTAGTGGGGAGGAGGAGAGTTTTGACTCCCACTCACATATTTATTTATTGTCCTCTGGAGCAGGGTTTGAAGGGACCGGCCGGTCCGCCAGGCCTACCTGTGAGTAACATCATCCTAAAACGGCAGCCTCTCTTGGGCTTGCCATTGTAGGAAAGCCTGGGGATTTGATGCGGGTACTAGGCCTTGCTGTGAGCACTAGCTGACTTCCTTTGCTTGAGGCTCCATAGATAAACAACACAGAAGTAACAATGCAGCACAGCTTCTATCCGCTAACCACTCTGTCTCCCCTTTTGCTCCTCCACTCCTTTTTGTAATCCCACTTCCTTCAACTTCTAATTCCACTCCACTTGAAATTTGGACCATCACACCTCTGCTCTCTCTACACTTCCTGTCCCTCCATCCCTTCCTTCTTCTCTCTAGGGCTTGCCTGGGTTCCCAGGAGTGCTGGGCAGACCGGTAGGTTTTCTGTGGCTGAGATAGTAGACTGCTTTGCTAATATTGGGAAGGGGGCCGTCCTTGTCTCTGTATGTTTGTGTGTGTGTACTGTATTTGTGCATTCATGTATGTCTGTTAGATATTTGAGTGAGTTTGGAAGTATATATTTTGTTTTATGTCTCTGTGAGCAATGTGAATGTAAGATTTATACACTACCATTCAAAAGTTTGGGGTCAGTAAGGGTTTTTTTTTTTTTTGAAAGAAATAATACTTTTATTTAGCAAGGATGTATTAAGTTGTACAAAAGTGACAATAAATACATTGCAAAATATTTCTATTCAAATAAGTTCTGTTCTTTTGAACTTTATATTCATCAGAGCACAACTGTTTTACCATTGATAATAAAAATAAATGTTTCTTGAGCACCAAATCAGCACATTAGAATGATTTCTGAAGGATCATGTGACACTTAAGACTGGATAATTCAGGTTTGCCATCACAGGAATAAATTACATTTTCAAATACAGTAAAATAGAAAACGATTTAAATTATTTCAAATTGTAATAATATTCACAATATTTTTGATCAAATAAATGCAGCCTTGGTTTGTGTAAGATATTTCTTTCAAAAATATTTGATAAATCTTACCGACCCCAAACTTTTGAACAGTAGTATATGTGTCCAGTGTTTGTACAGTCTTTGTCAAAAGTACAGTATACAGTATGTCTGTCCGTTCAGAGCTTGTTTGTGCTGTTTATATGTGCATGTGTGTATCTGTGTGCTTTATATTTGTATCAGCCTGCTATTCATACCAAATGTGTATTTTGAACAGGGGAATCCAGGAGAACCAGGAATAAGAGGACCAACTGTATGTATATTCAGTTTAATGTACATACTCAAATTAAAAATCATTTTTCTAACCTTTGGTTTGATATTTCAGGGACCGATGGGTGGAAATGGACCCCCAGGGGCTCCTGGTGTGAAGGTTAATGCTGCATTATTTGACATGGACCCTATAATTTTATTCATTAGCAGTCATTTTAAATCAACCATAACAGCATGAAAGTTATTTTGCCCCTATTTGTGTCCTGATTTCCTTTGGTATTGCAGATGCAAATAACATATAAAATGTGTGTGTATATGTTCACATGTTTGTGTGTCATGTTTAGGGTGACCAAGGAGAACCAGGCATTGGAGTTCAAGTAAGTTTTCTAGCTGAGTAGCGATGAACACTTTGCTTCAGGCGATTTGATACACAGCAATGTGTTTTTGGAGTTACATAACTAACCCACCAGAGTTTACTCACTCTTCAATCTTTCCTCTTCATTCTTTAAGGGCCCTCCTGGACCTCAGGGCAACAGAGGGTTACCTGGACCTCCAGGCACTCCAGGAGCAATAGTAAGATAAAAATGCAATATTGGAGTCATTCTAACAGCTCATAGGAGTCTGACCTCTGTCTCTCCACAGAGGTCATTAGACAATCTTTGCAGCTTCAGCTTAGAGCCTCTTCACATGCTCTGTTTCTCTGTGCCTTATTTATCCTTGACTCTTGTAGTCTTCAATTTGCCCTTACATTTCAGAAAGCAAAATGTTTTTCCTCCTTGCGTATTTCAGCACTTTAATATCAGTGTACTGTTGATGTTCAATAGATCCTGTGTGTTTTATATATACATATTGTTCTTATAGATAAGGGTGATTTATATTTGTCTGAGTAGGGATGAATGCAGCACTTTCTAATGTTTGCAGGGACCAGAAGGATCTCCAGGGCTTCCAGGACAAGTGGTGAGTAAATATACATACCAGACCAACATATATTACAGAGCATTTAAAATTATGAAAAATCCTCTATTACAGTTTTTCCTCTTCAACTAATTGGAGGCATGCGTGGTTGAATGTTCGATCAACAAAAGACAAAAAGTGTCAGCTGTGTGAGAGCACTTGGCTTTGGATTTGAAAAGCAATATAACTGTTTCACAGTGCAGTCAGAACTGCTTCTATGAGGTGCGAGAAAGATTGAAACTGAACCGCAATTCACTTTCTCGGATGGACACACTTGATCTCGGTCGGGTGTTTGGTGCTGTTTCAGGCACAATCCAATTATGATATTGTGATGCGCATGTATTCAGACCTAGTTTATATGAAGTGCCTCTCTATTCTCCTGTTCTTTTGCTAATACATATACATAAACATTTAATAAGCTATATAGAGTATATGTATATACATACACACACACACACAAATGTACATACTTATAAATAAATAAATATATATGTATATATAAATATATATAACAATATAGGTACCCACACACACACACACACACACACATATCTGCTGTTTATACATTCTCTCTGAGATTTAGAGCATGCATAAGCCTACTTAAGTGTATTTTTACTTGATTAATTGTCATAATTAATTGTGGATGAGTTGTTTACCGATCTAGTTCAAAATTATAGCCTAATTGAAGATTAGCTAGCAAATATCATTGCACATAGCAATCATAGCAACAGTTAGTATTCTAGTGGCAAAAATATTTTTTGTGTATGTGATGCATTCAGTTGCTCTCAACTTCAAAACACTCTTTGAAACTGTATTTTTTCAGTGTTCACATAAACAATGTTATCAACAGATTTTCTGTTCTTAAAGGTTTGTATCAGAATATAGATTTTTTTTTTACTCTTTTTTTTATTGATAAACAGAACATAACACTTAGATATAATGTATTGATTAATAAATAAACTAACGCTGGCAGCTGTTTCTTGCAACAAATGTTGACATTAGTATCTGATTCTAACAATAAGAGAAAAAGTAGAAGGAAAAATTTAATAAAAAAACATTTCAAGGAATACACAATATTCAGTTACTTTATCTGCAGGATTCATATATTACCATGCTCAGAAATGGATTTTGTTTGTATTTGTGATAAGTGATAATGTAAACTGTTTTTTGCTGACAATGTGACTATGAGGCATGGCACTTGTTTGAGTAACAAGGTTATCTTTGATTAACATGATGGCATAAACAGGGAGAGGGGGGCAAGCCTGGGGTCCCAGGGAGAGACGGTGTTCCAGGGAAAGATGGCCTGCCAGGGTTATCTGGGAAACAGGTGAGTGATCATATGCCCTTGACATTTACAACGATGTGTGTTCATTTCATTATCTTCTGCATCTTTTTTCATGCTCTCTTTGCTTCTTTCTTTTCTTCCCTACTTAACCGCTCTCTCTGTCTTATTATTACTCTCTGTCACTTTCTTTAAGGGTATCGCCGGACCCATTGGCCCCCCAGGATTAAAAGGAGAGCAGGGAGACAGCGGTCCACCAGGAAAGGTACGTCCATATGTCCATCTGCATGTGTGGATTTGTACGTAATGTGTAGTTTGACTGACACTATGCTTTTAATTCCCAACGCGCTCAATTTATCTCTCTCCCTTTATTTCCACTGTGTTCTGCAGTCTGTCACCGGACCCCCTGGAACGAAGGGTGAGATGGTGAGTTGTTGCCATGGTTACATCATAGCGAACACTGTGTGAAGATCAATCTGTCTCACCTGCATGACAGATAATCTCATTTGAAGAAATCGTAATGTTAGAGCAGCATGTACGTGAGCTCTTCAATAGATCTTCTTTCAGTGTTGTCATACTCAAATGCCAACTGAGGAGCGGCACAAAGTATTAAAGTAAATCGCGTGAAGTGAAGACTTTAATTTGTTCAATCGAAGTAGAGAGGCTCTATTTTATTTGACTTTAATATTTTATGACTGTTAAGGATAAAATACCTTAGGTATGTATTTTTCATACTGAGTTTAGACATTTTTTGACAGTCTCTGTGTATTTTCCATCTGGTTTGCGTTAACTTCTTGGTTATTGTGTTTGCTACCTGAATTGTTTGCCAACACAAAGAGGTTTAATGTATTTCATAACACAAACCATGTAAAGCCAGTAATTATGATAATTTCCACAAGATACATGCAATGATAACAGATTTTTATCTGAAGTTTATCCACCAACAACAGTAGGCTCACCTCAAATGCTTTATTTAGACAGCATTACAAATCAAATAACACACATTCATGTTCAGAAGAATTAATAATATCTCTTTAACAAAAATTCAAGCTACCTATTTCTGCTTTGAATGCCTTGCTTTATAGATTTCTAAGTGCATTACTATAAATGTGGTTTTTGTTTATTGTCTGTGATCATTGACAGCATGCCACTAAGCTTTAACAATCATTTAATGTGCCTTTGTGTGTCTGATTAATAGATTTAGCTCTATGTAGCTGTACTTTAAACCAAATGATACAGTGAGTAAACTTTATGTGCAAACTTTATGACCCTCTTTTTCAGCATTCTGCCAGCTCTCTGACACAAATCCTGTGTAATTGTGCCTTATTGTGTGTGAGTTTATTTAGATATTGGCACTGATGTGCTCCATATATATATTTACCACATTTATCAACAAAACTATGACAGGACAGGGACAGGGAAGTAAACTATTGTGGCCCATTGCACATTAAATGCCACAGGCAAAATCCATCACCTGCTTTCACTGTACAGCTGAATACTTCCAGGAGTAACTAATCTGTCAAGAGATGTCATCCACAGTTTCGCCAATGATGGAATCTTTATAATATCTGAAAAATACGTACAGCATGTTCTCAGAAATGTTCAGTATTTCCTGAAAATACATGAACGGAATAAACAGAACTGAAGCACACAGGCAGTCAATGCATCCATCCATTTGGTACAGTACCAGTTCTCCTGAGGGAAATGGATGGCTTATCTGCACTTACATAGATTGTAGATAATGGGCCATAGATTTGTTATTTCTGACATGAATATACCACATTATTAACTCATATATAACCATGATTGTTTAAGGGTCCTACTGGTCTGACATTGCCAGGTACCGCTGGAGAAAGAGGCCTTCCTGGATCACCGGTGAGTTTCACTCATTTTCAGAATCAAAAGAGCTTTATTACCAAGTATGTTTACACACACAAGGAATTTGACTTGACGACAGGAGCTTCCAGTGTAGAAGAAAGTACAAACATAGTGCAGACATACATAGGAATAACACAGTAGGGATGTAATATAACACTAGTATAATAAAATAAAATACACATTTTTATAATGTACTATATACAGAAATAGAAGTATAGGAAAAAATGTAATTGTTTAGATAAATGTGCAGATATGTTATTTACAAAGTGTGCAGTTTAATATAAATATAGCTATGTTAGTTGTGATGGACGATGTATAATTATGAAAGATTAATTGTTCAGGCTGAATATAGCCTGCGGGAAAAAACTGTTCTTGTGCCTGGCTGTTCTGGTGGTCAGTGCGCTGTAGTGCCGACCAGAAGGCAACTGTTGGAAGAGAGAGTGGGCTGGGTGTGAGGGGTCCAAGGTGATTTTTGTAGCCCTTTTTTCTCACTCTGGAGATGTAAAGATCTTGGAGGCTGGGCAGAGGGACACCAATAATCCTCTCAGCAGTCCTGACTGTCCGTTGTAGTCTCTTGATGTCTGATTTGGTAGCTGAACCAAACCAGACAGTTATGGATGAACACAGGACAGACTCAATGATAGCAGAGTAGAACTGTTTCAGCAGCTCCTGTGGCAGGTTGAATTTCCTCAGCTGGCGAAGGAAGTACAACCTCTGCTGGGCCTTTTTTGCAATGGAGTCTATGTGAGTGTCCCACTTCAGGTCCTGAGAGATAGTGGTGCCCAGGAACCTGAATGACTCAACTGCAGTCACAGTGCTGTCCATGATGGTGAGTGGGGGGAGTGCAGGGGGTTTTCTCCTGAAGTCCACGATCATCTCCACAGTTTTGAGCGTGTTAAGCTCCAGGTTGTTAAGACTGCACCAGACAGCCAGCTCTTTAACCTCCTGTCTGTAAGCAGACTCGTCTCCATCCTTGATGAGGCCGATGACTGTAGTGTCGTCTGCGAACTTCAGGAGCTTGACAGAGGGGTCTTTAGAGGTGCAGTCATTCGTGTAGAGAGAGAAGAGCAGTGGGGAGAGTACACATCCCTGGGGAGCGCCAGTGCTGATGGTGATAGTCCTGGATGTGAGTTTGCCCAGCCTCACTAGCTGCTGCATGTCTGTCAGGAAGCTGGTGATCCACTGACAGATGGAGGTGGGCACGGAGAGCTGGGTCAGTTTGTCTGAGAGAAGGTCAGGCCATGATGGTATTGAAGGCCGAACTGAAGTCTACAAATAGGATCCTTGCGTAATTCCCAGGTCTGTCGAGGTGTTGCAGGATGTAATTAAGCATCGATTTTGCTTATTTATTTGAGCTTCTGTCCAGTACATTCCAATACATTTCTGAGGTTTATATTTGTTGATCTGCATGTATTTATTTATGCCCCATTATTTGTTCCCACAGTTTGCCGTCATATTCCGGCATCAGCTTTCCTTCATCATTAATGTCATTAGTAGAAGTAATGCTGAATTCACATTTCATACACATATAGATTTTTTTGTGTGGCTGTTTTGTGTTTTAGGGTCCAAAAGGAGACAAAGGGCCAGCGGGAATCAAAGGAGAAAGAGTGAGTAGTGTTATTATGAGAAGAGTGCCCACAAACAAGGCAATGCTCAATGTGTAGAAATAGATTTGAAAGTGTTATTTACTCACAGGGTGCTGCGGGTGATCCTGGAGATCCTGGTGAGAATGTGAGTACCTGCAGTAACTTCAGAGGCAGAACTGCCAGCACTCCATTATAATATATGCATCATTAAAAGACTTTCACATTCATTGTTCAGGGATTGAGAGGACCACCAGGGCCCAAAGGAGTCAAAGGAGAGGCAGGTGTGGGAATGCCTGGGCCTCAAGGACAACCTGGACCCATTGGCTTAAAGGTATTTGATTCATTTTATTGTTACAGAACTGTTGCTAACAGACCTCTAGCCCTAAGTGTAAACTTTGGCATGTAACTCATCTCATATTGTTTCTGTGGCAAGCATGAAGATCTAGTTTGTATAATAAATTAAAGTTTTTAATCTTTTGTAGGGGGACTCTGGTTTACCAGGTCCTCCGGGCCCTCCTGGACCACGTGGAGTGGATGGCACGCCAGGACTGGCAGGGCAGAGAGGTGAAGCAGGTCAGCCAGGACCCCCTGGACCCCCAGGAGACAGGGTTCGTAGAGTCACTGCACATACAAAAACAAATGTACACTAAAAACAACACGTTTAGAATTACTACATAAAGAAAAGGTTTAAATGCCATCATAGACAAAAACATTTGCTGAATTTGGCTGCATCCAATGATTGTAATTCCTCTTGGTGCTTGTAAGGGTCTACAAGGATTCATTGGCAAAGCGGGAAACCCAGGAACACCAGGAGCTGCTGGGCCCCCAGGACCCTCTGTAAGCCACAGACATGTTAAAATCAAATAATTGTGTATAAGTATTTGCATTAAGGTGTTTTTTATAGCAAGTATAACTGTGTGTCTCTCCCTCAGTGGTATTCAATGATGTCTTTATCTTCATATTAGGGTACTGCGGGCCTTGCAGGACTGAAGGGCGATAAGGTAAGTGATGTGTTGCTTGCAGGACTTACAATTTTTTAAAAATTTAACAGCACAGTCAAAAAAGTAATGCGCAAGTAGGCATGAGAGAATGGAGCTTTTATGCCAGAAATCAGGAACACTGTGTGAGTCATGACAAAGGATTTTCCCTTCTGATAAACCAAATAAAATATTTTCAGTTAATTTGACCAGCTGCAGAAAATAAATAAATAAATAAAGTTATATTTTACAACAGTAAAATTACAATACTAATATTTATGGTTGTCTTAATTTCTTTGCATTCAATCATTAAGGCATAGAGCTTCCATTTTTGTGGAAAATCCCTCATAGACCTTAAGGTTTACTCTGAAGTACGTCATGCGAAATATGTACATAATTCTCTCATAGTCTTTGCAGTTTTTACTGGCATTTGACACCTACCTAACAAGTGTTAATTTATTCATGAGCTTCAATCGGTTCAGTCGCACTGGTGCATCAAATTTTTTTCACAGTCATTTACGGTCGCAAAGGTGACTAATATTCGCACTGTAGAGCCCTGGCTTGTTGTATATTTTTAGGGCTGTTCAGTCATGTTTCAGCATATTATGTATAGTATATAGTTTACAAATCTGAAATATGGATTTTTTTTCTCCATTTAAACCTGAAAACAACTGCATATTGTGCCCAAGTGCATATTGTCACTAAACCAAAATACAGATATACCAAATAGTAAGGCATTCTGAAATTCATGCTGATTAACCTTTTTACTTAAACTTGTTATACTAATTATATAATTTGTAATTAAAGGTAGAAAAATACAAGATAATTTTTGAGATTTAAAATTGGTTTTAAACTTTTAGGACCAATTTATTTGTGTTTATTTTGGAAATAAGGAAGCCAGTCTAAAAAGCTAAAACTTTGAAACCAGTGTGTCTCTGTGCAGTCAGAGCTGTTCAGTAAGGTTTTATTGGACAAAAATGAAGTGCACTGCGTGAGACAGAGTTATTACCCTTTTTCTCTCTTTTTCCTCCACATTCAGGGTGAAATTGGTGTAGGAGTGCCAGGTTTAAGAGGAGAGCGAGGAGACCCAGGGCCTCGGGTAATGTCCAAAATCACTCCATCGCTTGTTCATTTGTTTGTATGCATATCAGATTGTGATGATGTGTGTATCTGTCTAATTTTTGTAGGGAGAAGAAGGTCGGGCTGGAACAGATGGAGAGAGAGGCCTTACTGTAAATATACTCCTACTTTCCGTTTACAACATTCTGCATTTACTCATTATTTTTTACCCCACCACATCCTGTTTTCTGCACATATTGATGTCAGTAAGGCAGTAACAGTCAGTCTCTCTTGATGGGTGTCATTGATCTGAGCCCTCGTCTAGATGTGGAAAGGCTGATGCAGGCAGAGGTAGCTGTACGAACACTGTATTCGTCACACTTTATATTCAGGGCTATGATGTGTTCGTCTCCCACTTGCTGCAATTTCAAAACCATTATGAGTCAAGGCCTCTTGCAGAGCTGCACGTCTTCTATCTACAAAATGCATACAAATGCTCAGGCAAATAAGATTTCTCCTCTACTCAACTGTCTGTCCCACTGACAGGGTCCTCCTGGCAGCAAAGGAAACAGAGGAGATAAGGTCTGTATAACTTTTCATCAACTGCTACAATCTGGCTGAGGCTCGTCCCTTACTTTGCTAAAAAATAATAATAACAATAACTGTGTCATGAAATACAATCCTTTATGTACATGTTTTATAAACTTATAAACTATCAATTCTTCACAGGGCGAACAAGGTCCTTCAGGAATTAAAGGAGAAAAGGTATTTTTTTTTAGAAAATGCTTTGATCATCTTTCTTTATTACACAGCTTCCTGGAATACTTGATTCTGATTGGTCCATTTCAATATTTTTCAATGATAGCTGGTAAATTTGATAGCTAAACTTAATTCTTCTTAAATAATACATTATTTAAATGCCAATGATTATTTTATGTGCATTTATTTATTTGTAGCCATGTAATAAGCAGAATCATGTACAGTCAGGTAGTTAACGCAAAATAAACTGTGATTATTATGTGAAGTAGTGGGGTTTTATATCACACTAAAAGAGGTTTATTTTACATATTGAATATATTATACTGTTATTTTTGCATATTTAATAGATTGTATATTGCTGTATTTGATTTTATATCTTTAAGGGAGATACTCAGCTGGTGGGGGGACCTCCAGGAGAGAAAGGAGTGAAAGGAGAAACCGTGAGTCAAATTGTTTTGATTAAGCTGTGTCAGGTGTTTAATGCTTTTGGGTCACTCAGATTAAAGGCCAATAATAAAGGTTAGGCTGCTATAGGTCTCTTATCTATTGAGAACATGTGCCTATGAGAACTGGTCATAAAGCATTCATGTGTGTCTGCCTCAAGATCTATAGATTGTTAACGAGTCCGTAAGCAACAGGATAAAGGCAGATCTTTTGGGTCAATGTAAACTAATCAGTTGTATTGATCACTGCTCTCCTCAGGGGGAGCGAGGACCTAAAGGTGCACAGGGTGAAAAGGGTGCAAAGGGACAGGAAGGACCACCAGGAGAACAGGTTTTTTCTTCTTTCATCATCATTTTTTTTTTCATAATATATAACTACAATATAATGTTGTGATGCCTAAATCTCTTGTGGTATTTAAAACGATTTATTTTAGCTGTTTTTTAATTTAGACAGAATAGTATAACATTTTATATGGACTATTTATTATCAGTCTTAACATGATTATAAATATCATCTTATTGCTATTAGCTAAATAAAATTGTTATTCTCTTTCAGAACCCATTTCTTTTTATTTATGTCTCAGACGTCTCCTAAAATTCCTTAGGTGAATCAAATATAGACAAAAATAAGAGCATGGACATATAAAATTCATGTGGCTTAGCTCAGAAAATTTGGTCTTCAAAGAATCTGATGAGAAATGTTTGAGTATATTGAAATCTCTTTATTTTGATCACAGACGTTGTTGAGACATGTTGGGGTCTCTTAGCAGAATAATCTGAGAAGCAAGAGACTCAATTTGTTCCCCCTTTAATCTCATTGCTGTTTGAGAGAAATGACAAAGATATTAAAGAGATCTCATTTGTGATTTTTCTATCATATTTGCAGGGTCTGAGAGGGGAGCCGGGAGAGAGAGGTTCTACTGGCTTCCAGGGAGCCCGTGGTCCTGGTGGTCAGAAGGTGAAAAATACACTCCCTTTCCTCACAAATGAACAAGAATAAACATATGCATATACCTGAATACATTCGGGTATGTTTGCATATGTACATCGATGTGCATGGCCCTCATATTGATCAAATATTTAATTATCATTTGCAGGGAGAAGCAGGGCAGCCTGGTGTCCCAGGAGAAGCAGTGTGTATTCTTATTCAGATGCCTATAACATCAGCGCATGACTGGCACATACAGTCCCCAGACTCAGCCGTTTCCCCATGACTGCTTTTTTTTTTATCCTTCCTCTACAGGGAACACCTGGTAAAGATGGTCTGCCTGGAATGAGAGGAGAGAAGGGAGAGTTTGGGCCTGTAGGTCCGCGAGGCCTCAAGGTGTGTGTATGTGTGTGTGTGCGTTTTAATGGTTGTCTCTTTGATTAAAACTCAACCTGACTCTTGCAAGCTTTATCGCTAACCTTGAGTAGCCCTTCAGACCAGATGATCACACTGCTTATAATTCCGCCACAATCTGGATTCCAGGCCATTGTGTCTGACATTTCATCTGCATATGTACCTCATAGCCACTGTATGAAAGTTTTTGTGTGTGAATATGTGTGTGTGCGTGCGTGCATGTGTGGAGAAATTGATTTGTCGAGTGCAGTGTGGCACATGAAAGACTCCTGCGTATGAATCATTCCACTCAGGGATACATGGGCCGCTGCAGACAGTACTAGCTGCCCTTCAACCAGCGGCAACATAGACACACACACTCACATAGCAGATAAGAACTTTTATCTGGATTCAGCATCCCAGATAGACCTCTATCTGTTGTCACTAATGAGAAAGACAGTAATTGAAGGGTGTGTGTGAGTTTGTGTGCTCGTGTGTATGACTGACACATGAATGGTGCTTTATTCTTTCTAAATAGTCCCTCCCAGGGAGCTTTTCTCTAGTGTCATTACTCCCTGTAACATTGAGTGATTGACAGTTTGACTGAGCTTTAATGGCTTACAGGGAGAAAGAGGCGCCAAGGGAGCATGTGGACAAAGCGGACCAAAGGGAGACAAGGTGAGTAATAAGGAGAGCTTGAGGAAAGTTTTTGTTGTGTCGCCATGTTTTGCTGGAAGTGATGAAATGTGTCTGTTCATAGGGGGATGCTGGGATTAACGGCAGACCGGGATTGCCAGGGAGGAAAGGAGAGCAGGTATGTACACATGCATTTGTTTTTGTGTGAGGCTTGTATGCGATTCCTTTCATTATCTTGTTTTTATGGCAAATTTTATTTCAGGGTGAAGTCGGGTCTCCAGGTTCCACAGGAAGTCCAGGGAAGGAGGGACTCATTGGAGCCAAGGTAAGAGCATATCGCATGGGAAACATATTGGTCTGAGATCATACTGAATAATAGTGTTGTCACTGTAATTGATGAAACACATATGCCTTTGAACATGTCAAAAAAATTAAATATCTAAATATTAATAATTAAAACATTTAATGTTGCCTAAGTGTTGCCTAAGATTGATTGGTAGCAACATACCAATTATTTTAAAATCACTGCTGAATAAACCAGCAGACAACAAAATGTTTTACTGCAACATAGGTCTACATACTCTGCAATCCTTCTAATTTCAAAAAGTAAAGTGGAAAAGGTGCAATGAAACTTTAAACAAACCATGTAACGTTCATCTGTTGATGCCCAGGGTGACAGAGGCTTTGATGGAGTTACGGGGCCGAAGGGATCACAAGGAGAGAAAGGTGAACGGGTGAGTATACCAAATACTTTAGCTCCACCGCTGTTTAAGCCTAACACTGCCGATCTCAGTGAAAAGTCTTATCAAATGTTCCACCTTAAAACGTCCTCCGCCTGCTTTCTTTAGGGCCAACCTGGTATCCCTGGTCCCCCTGGTTCAAGAGGAGCGGATGGACCCTCTGGTCTAACAGGCCCTCAAGGACCTGCTGGAGGTAAAGGTCCAGAGGGCCTGCAAGGACAAAAGGTATCAAACTTACTTTATATCAATACATACATACTGTATATGTGCAAAGAGGCATTTACATAATTATAGAGTTGTTATTCATGTCTGTTTCCATAGATTATTTTTGTCATTGATAGTGGAGCACACAGCATGCTTTTTAAAATTATGATAGGTCTTTGAATTAGAATAAATTACAACTGCGGATATATGTCTATAATGGTATCTCTCAAGTAATGCTGTCATATGGACAACCATTGAGTAATTAAACTTTCACTAACCTTATGAATATCAATTTTCTACATTTAAAAAAAAAACTCACATAGCACAGTAACGTTCTGGGTTAATTTTGTGTCATAACCTGTGGTTCACTGAACAAGTGAGTAATCAGAGCCGATTCACTGAGGATGTTAGTTGTCGTACCAATTTAGTGGTTCAGACCATTTACACTTTTCGGACTGATTTGTCAATTAGTTTGACAGATTCATTACAGAGTCTTTCTCTCATCACATAAAGTACAGTTCTATTTATTTTATCTATTTCTTTTTTTTTCTCTTTTGCTGTGATATGGTTTGTATTGATTTGGAGCAGCAGGATCAGCAGCAGTGCAGTGCTGCTCCTGAATAGCACTGCAGGAAACACTGATTCATATGCACAAGGAGCAATGGTTAGTTCATCATATGTGACATATTGAATATTTTTTGTAGGGTGAAAGAGGTCCTCCAGGCCCTGCTATGGTTGGCCCACGTGGCATCCCTGGGATCCCAGGAGAAAGAGGAGAACAGGTAACTCTATACACCTACTTGTCCTCTGCATTTTTTCTCCATACTGTATATCTGTCGTCACTAAATGTGTCTCTTTGTGTTTTTGTATCAGGGTGAGATTGGCTCTGATGGACCTAAAGGAGACAGAGGAGAAACAAGCATGACGGTCAGAACAAATAGACGTTTGTGATTCATGATTTATTGTAATGTCATCATGCGTATTTTCTTCTGCTACTCGAGTCTCATTGAATCCTCAAGATAAGTAACAATGACACAAGGGCTGCTTGCATCTCTTTTTTTTCTTAAAGGAGGATGAGATTCGGACTTATGTTCGAAGTGAGATGAACCTGCATTGTGGTGAGTGGATAATCGTCATTTATCTCCATCTACAACAATTTTCCATCATCATCAATGACTCTTTTTAATGTCATGAAATCAAAACAAATCCTCTACAGCCCTGCCTTTTTCACTGTATATTCTTTTTTCACTTGGAAATACATTTTACAGAAATACAACGGGTTGCAAATGCTGATTGATGTTGATTTTAATTTCTCTTTTGTATCCTTGAATTAAATTCTCTAACTTTCTCTCTTTTTTCCCTAAGCTTGTGGAGGTAAGTTGTGACTTTTATAAAGCCTCAATATAGCCTGTAGACATTTTCCTATCATTGCATCAGCAACTCATGTGCACACAGTTCACTAACAGTAGGCTTGTGTGTGACTGTCTTATGTGGTCTCTGTCTGTATAAACCTTGTTGAGTATGTTCGTGAGTATTTCTGGTTTGTGTCCACATGGCTGAATTCCGGGTTTTGTGCATGCTAAATTGTTGATGTAGTGCATGAACTTTGAGTGCATCTTTACATGCATGGATGCCTGTGTGAGTGTGTTCACTGATGGGTTTTACTATCTTGTGTTTGTGTGATTCGTTATGGGCGTGTTCTCAGGTGTTCAGGAAGTTGAGAAACCTGTCCCAGTGCAGGCTTACCGAAGCTCCTCCACGTCCCCTGAGCGCTCACTAGTCCAAGGGGACGAGGAGGGTGAGTCCTATCCTCATTTCATCCTTCTATCTCGGTTTATCCTCCTCTCTTCTAAACTCAAAACTCCTGTCACTCTGTCCTCTATTTATGACTTCCTTGAAAGGACTAGTTTAAAGAAACATTTCACCCAAAAATACAAATTCTGTCATCATTTACTCTTTTATTCAAACGTGGAACACAAAAGAAGATATTTTGAAGAATGTTCACACTGATTTTTTCCATACCACAAAAGCCCTATCTCTATCTATCTCTTGCCTTGTGAACATGAAACATTGAATGTGCACGTATACATATACATAGAATATTTTTTTGTCATGCTTTAAAGAAGTACACTTTTTAATGTGTTGGCATACATACTAAAGCACACACAAGTTTTGACTGTAGTTTGTTATTCAATATTACATCTAAAATTATTGTGTTAAATGTACTGAATTGCATCATCATTGCAAATGTGTAATTAAAAGTATATTTAAATACATGACATAAAATACTTTTAATAGAAATAACATTAAATGACATTCACAGGCAATTAAGTGTTCGTGAACATTGCATTCAATTCACACTAAAGAATATTCTTTTCAAGTATGCTATTTCTGTAATAAGTTCTCTTTTTTGAAAGTATGCTAAAGTGTACTTCTTTTTCAGAATGGTGGTCATTCTGCATTATTTAAAAAAGCAGTGTCAACATTTACAAAACCTCTCATTATAACGTTCTGTGGAAGAAAGTAAATCATTCAGGTTTGAAACAAGGCTGAGTAAATGATGACAGAATTTACATTTTTCTCTTTAAACTACCCTTTTAAACAGAAACTATGTTTCTGCCTTAAACATAAGTGGGATATGTTAAATACATGCTTGTATTTAACATACCCAGTTGCACATGTACAGTACATCTAATTCTCTCAAACTACGATATCCCAGCATTCTAAACTCTGATTTCCCTCAATAGCCCTCATATTCTTTCTTTGTGCATCCATGCACGTTTTTTGCAGGTCAAAAGCTGCGTGTTGTGATGAACACAAATGATCCAGACTACGAGCACATTTACTCTATAGAGACCTATGATGATGATGCTCCAATGGTGGAGATTGCTGACTATGACACCACTGTCAATAAAAGCCAGGGTATGCTACATTTTTTCCAGTAGAAAACCAGTTTGTTTGTAGCTGTGTGTGCAGACGTAGTATAATATATGGACATTTTGGCAGGTCAAACCGTCTCTTTTGATTCTTTAAAAGCTGAAAGGACAAAATTTGAGGTGAAAGGTGAAGGTAAGCAACCACTCCTCATTCATCATGGAGATTAAAGGCTCCATTGAGTCATCTTTACGCATGAGTATGTTGGGGAGCCTTTACTGTGGGAATAAAAGTATTGATGGGACCTATTTTATTCTCCTCATTTTTACTGCTTTTCCGTGTCTTTGTTGGGAACAAAATGCTTAAAAATGCTATCTGTGGGAAAAATATCAAACCCTTAACAAAACTGTGATGATGGATTATCATAATTTTTGCACTCTGTAATTGCTGCATACTATTGTTCTTTGCTGTTCTCACTTCCTGTTGTTTCTCTGTGTATCTTCTGCATGCTGTCAACCCGCTGACTCATCTGTATGACAGCTCTTAGTATGAGATTGCAAGCAGCTGTCCTTGCCATAATGACAAGTTTAAAAGTTGAATCTGCCTTGTGTGCATTTGTGTATTTCAACAGTGTATTTCGCCATATTGTTCAAATTGCATTAATTCAGGATAGAACTTTTGAACGGTAGTGTATTCCATGAAACAAAAGAAGAATTGGTGATTATCCATTACCATTCAACCATTTAATTATTTTTCTTTAATGTGTGTTTTTAGACTCCTGCATCTTGCCCATGGAAGAGGGTAATTGTTCTCGCTATACTTTGCGTTGGTACTTTAACTCTGAGGTGGGCGTCTGTAGACCTTTTATCTACAGCGGCTGTGGAGGAAATGCTAACCGCTTTTTACAGAAGGAAGATTGTGAGAAACTCTGTCTACAACAATAAGAAGGTACATTAACACGCACTGATTAATAGAAAAGGCTGAAGGTAACAAATGGTGCATTAATGCATATTTCTAAATAAATTATGAATTGGATGGGATAGAGATGTGATTTTTGCACTGCATCTGTGTATATCTGTCTCTATTGTGTTTCTCTCACAATTCTGTCTGTTCTATGTTTTATAGAATTGTGTTTTAGCTTGAAGACAAGAGTTGACTGCAAATGGAGGATCTCTAACTCATCAGCAATATAAAAAAGCTAAACCTCAGTGTTCAACACTGCCATCATGCACAAGAGATCACGGTAAAGGCTGATGTCAACACCTTTTCCTCAGCAGAACAAGCAAATTTTAAATATTGATCAGATCTTTAAGGTTTTTCTTGTTTATTTATTTTGTGTCTGTTGAGCTGCCAAACATCTGTTAATATTCCTGCTAATCTGGATTCATCTACATACATTATATATATATATATATATATATATATATACATGTACATACAGTAAGTCCAGTCAGTAACAGCATACCACATTATCTTTCATTTCTCACTTAATCCTTGTTGTCACATAGTTACACCCACTGACATTTTCTCAGGTGCTAAAACCAGAAACTAGAACACACATTGTAATATTCTTAACAAATTCATCTTAGACTTGTTCGTAGAATAAGTCTATGCTGTACAAAATTGTACTGTAAATGTAGATCTGTATTTTTATCTGCTTGAAAATGAGAATGAATGTTCTTGTATTATCAGATGTTGCATGTTTACTTGGACAAATGGTGCTATTTTTTAAAGATATTTTTATATTGTTGACTGGTTTTAATGTTTTCATGTATTCCGTTCATTATATCCAGTGTTTATTTCCATTATAGTATATGGATTCTACAGTCCTGTTCATTTTAAGTGATGTTGGAGCAATTGAAAGTTTTCTTTGCGCAAGGCACTTCCTGTCTGCCAGTTTTAATAGCACATAAAAAGTAGTCATTTTCTAAATATACATTCATATGTTGTAAAGTGATCTATTCTTCATGTGTTCTGTATTTGCTTGAAATAAACATTAAAATGTATAAGGGAAAAAATAAACCTGAAACAAGACTGAAATTTAATGGTGCTGGAGCTCTCATTTTAAGAATGAATATCAACAAGTGCAGATCTACATTTGACTAGACTTATATGTCAACTATAGCCTCATTAAAAGGTCAGTAACCACCTGTAGTTTATTTAGAAGAGAACTACATAGTCTTTTCCTTCTCTCTTTTCTCTCTCTCTGTTAATTTGGTGTTACTCTATGCTGTGTTGTCTTTTTGGGAGGTGGGTGGGGTGGGGTTTGTTTTGTGCATCAATCCTAGTCACACATCTGATGATTCAGTAATGATTCTGGACCGTCTTGTTAAGATGCCAATGTACAGTCATTACTACTCCTCCAGGGCTGTCACTCAAACACTGTTTTCATATTCATTTCTACTCATATTTATTCATTGACTTCATTTTAGACGGTCCATCTGTTAGAGTATTTTGTTTTATATTCTCATGCCTGCTTAATAACATTGTTTGAGTGCCAGTCTATATTTTTATTCTGTTCATTCATGAGATGAATCCGTCATTGTGGATTTTAATGAGTTTATTGTAATGTCAGTCACTGACAGCTGTGCATCAAATTCACAGCGGTGCTCCAGAGGTCAACTATGTCTTAATTTATATCATGTTTTTATCAAGCCTTGAGTGCAGTGAATATTTGGAAAAATTAGCTTTCATGCGGATGCATTCCTCATTCTCTCAGATCATTACATATACCTTTTAAATTGCCCTTTCCATATCTACTAAATATCCTTGGGAAGGAAGGTGTATGTTAATTGCATTTTGAAAGATTGGGTGACATTGATTTTGACATTGAAAAGCAATTTCTTTGCCCTTTCATTATTGTGTTGAGCATTAAAGTTCATAGAGGAAACATGTATACACTGAAAAAACTGGTGTAGAAATTATTTTCATTTAAAAATTTGAAGATTGGGGATTTATTTAAGGGAGATACATTGATGTCCTTTAAAGTCCAATGACACTTTTTAAATACTTACAAATTCACAGCTATATCAGCTTTCACTGTATCTCTGGGGATGTGAGGTGATTAAGACACTCTGGCAAAAAGTGTAACACTAATTTCCTCAATTATTTCAAGATCAATTCCAGTGATCCCTGAAATATGTGCTTTGGGTTTATTTCGGTAAGTTTATCATTATTATCACACTAAAATGATTGACATTTTGTCTAGTTATTGCAACATGTTTAGTAGCATTCTACTAAAGAACAGAAGGTCCATCCACTGATCATTGGGTGAAAGATCTGGCACATTATACTGTATTGGAAAGAATAACCTACAGTATAAAGGGCAAACTAAAGGACTACCATAAAATTTGGGATTCGTTTATACAGTTTCTGGAAAATAATCAAATATCGGCACAGGCAACAAATACCTCTCACTCTACTAATTAATGTGTGTATATTTGCACATTTGCATGTGAAAATATGAGGATATGTCTGTCTTAGCCTTTGTATAAAAACATTTTTAGTAACAAGATGGCGGCGCGTTCACACGCTGACACTTTTTAAATACTTACAAATTCACAGCTATATCAATGTCAAGCAAACTTCACTATCTAGACCTTTACAAACAGAACTACAAAAGCGTATGTTTTATAAGGATCTTAGTACTAATCAAATTTCATTGCTTTATTGCAAATTTGTTAACAGCTCTAAAGAATCATCTGAATCCAATAGAGTTGCTAGAGGTATGGATTTGCAATATGACCTTTCGGATTTAGAATGGAGCCAGATATGTGTTAAAGCCCAGAATTTGTCAATTAATACTAGATTTAAGTTGATTCAATACAACTGGGTAATGCATACTTATGTCACCCCTGAAAAGTTATGTAAGTTTAACCCAAACATCCCAGATATATGTTTCAAATGCCAAAAATATAAGGGAGCATTCTTTCACTGTATCTCTGGGGATGTGAGGTGATTAAGACACTCTGGCAAAAAGTGTAACACTAATTTCCTCAATTATTTCAAGATCAATTCCAGTGATCCCTGAAATATGTGCTTTGGGTTTATTTCGGTAAGTTTATCATTATTATCACACTAAAATGATTGACATTTTGTCTAGTTATTGCAACATGTTTAGTAGCATTCTACTAAAGAACAGAAGGTCCATCCACTGATCATTGGGTGAAAGATCTGGCACATTATACTGTATTGGAAAGAATAACCTACAGTATAAAGGGCAAACTAAAGGACTACCATAAAATTTGGGATTCGTTTATACAGTTTCTGGAAAATAATCAAATATCGGCACAGGCAACAAATACCTCTCACTCTACTAATTAATGTGTGTATATTTGCACATTTGCATGTGAAAATATGAGGATATGTCTGTCTTAGCCTTTGTATAAAAACATTTTTAGTAACAAGATGGCGGCGCGTTCACACGCTGCGGCTTCTCTCTCTCCCGACATAAAGGTGTTTTCGTGTTTTTTGTCTTGTGAGTCGCAGTGTTTTTGTACGTATTCGTCGCGTCTATCTTTCTCTAAGCGCGCATACAGTTGTGAGTTTCTGCTCGATGTCGGCAGTGACACTTTTTAAATACTTACAAATATACAGCTAAATCAGCTTTCACTGTATCTCTGGGGATGTGAGGTGATTAAGACACTCTGGCAAAAAGTGTAACACTAATTTCCTCAATTATTTCAAGATCAATTCCAGTGATCCCTGAAATATGTGCTTTGGGTTTATTTCGGTAAGTTTATCATTATTATCACACTAAAATGATTGACATTTTGTCTAGTTATTGCAACATGTTTAGTAGCATTCTACTAAAGAACAGAAGGTCCATCCACTGATCATTGGGTGAAAGATCTGGCACATTATACTGTATTGGAAAGAATAACCTACAGTATAAAGGGCAAACTAAAGGACTACCATAAAATTTCGTATCTATACCGTTTCTGGAAACTAACCAAATATTGGCACAGGCAATAAATACATTTCACTCTAATGATTGATATGTTGTGCTTTTGTATTTGTGGATATATATGTGGAAATGTCTGCCTTTGTATAATAACTTCTTTGGTCTGTGAATTTTTGAATTTTTTCAATTGGATATTTTTATGTTATCTTCCATGTTTTGTTTTCTCAATAAAACATTTTTTTGAAAGAAATTGCTCAATTTCACAAAGAATTACAAAGAATCAGCAAATAACATTGAAATGTTGAAGTAGAAAGACTGAAGTAGTATTTTCTTGTAAAAGGTACTCAAATAATCTTTGTTTTATTTACAACTTCGAAAATATTTTTACAGTGTTCTTATTTACATAGGCTAATGTTTACAGCTCGCATGTTTAATGTGGTGCTTATTATAAAATAAAGAAATAAAACAATAGAAAATAGTAATAGTGTTGTCAACACAGAAACCGTATCTTATAAATTGGTTTGTAAGGATCGTGCGGACTGCAGACAGAGTGGATGCGCGTTTGTGTATGCGCGTTAGCGCAGAGGGAGCGGGTTCAGTACGTCTAGTACACAGGATAGCGGAACTCATGGGTACTCACAGAAGCACAGCGGCGATTTCTATCACCGTTTAGCACCACTGAAGGTGCGACATTTATTCCGGGCACGTACCTGACAGCGGACTGTCCTGAAGCCCCACGGAATCTCGCGCTCTAGTAGAGTGAGAGAGAGAGTATAGCGCGCGCTGAACGGACCGCAGTGGAATGTAGCGGGGATTCCCGGCGCGCGGGGCAAGGTGAGTAAAAACCTCCTTGATGCATCTTCACACTACTCACGAGGCTATTGATCTTTTCACTTAATTGCCATTCGGTTCCATTTTACCGTCACTCTTCATTGGTTTTCGGCTGTTTAAGTGGTACATTTTGGCAACGCGCGCCTGGGTATAGAAATGATAAGAGACAATCAGCAGTGTCGTTTGATCTGGACTCGACTACTAATATTCCTTACACTGCAAAAAATTGACAGCAATGTCAAATGCGGGGTATGTCGCCACTACGGACGATTTGTTTACCGAGCAAATCCATGTGTTGCCTGTAATCTGCGATCAGCCCGTGTGTGTGAAATTCAAGATGTCATTTAAATAGCTATATTGCAAATTAATGTTTTTTTCATTAGTTTGAATAGCCATTATTATCAGTCACAATGGACTCTTAGGCTTATGAGTTGCTTATTATGACAGTTCAATTTGCATCAGGGCATCATCCTCTCTCATTGATGCTTTCAAACACAACTGGACACATGCACATGCTCAGATACACGTGACTCCAGCAAAGTATTGAGGGGAAAAAAGTTAAATACGCCTGTGTCAATCATTTGACATTCATCACACCCATCATCATCATCATCATCATCTTATTCGCACATGCACGCACATTCTCACTGATTACAGTCAAAGGGATTTTCAGATGCACTTCAGATCAGGCGGCAAGATGCCATTTGAAGGAAGGAAAAGAAGAGAAGAGGATGTATGAGATGGTGTGTGTACATTTATAATAAGATTAAAGGCTACAGCTTGTTTTTAGGACAAGCAGCAACAGAGGAACAATGGAGTGTGGAGCAGGTATAAGTGGCCCTGATGTGTTAAAAATGTGTATGAAAGGAAAGAGGAATCTAGATCATCAGCTATTTTAGCTCCTTCTAGATGTGGAGTTATTTTGGTTCTTCCCTCTGTAGTGACTGTAGTTTCACGTGTTGTCACGCTCTCTCATTTCCAAATAGTCTGTAAACAAATTTAATGGATTTGCATATTCATTCCACTATTAATATAGTTCATTATAAATCAATTTTGACTCCACGCAACTGTAGGACCCTTTTGTCCACAGAGACACGCCAACAGATTAATTATCACATGCATTTGGTGCAATTTTTTGCATAAATGTGTGATTCGAATGCCTCTGCTATTGTACAAGGAATAGGAACATTTTGTGACTGTTTACTCACATGTCATGTCATTCAATATATATATATATTTTTTTTTTCTGTGCAACACAAAGGAAAAAGCCTTGATACGGCTTTACAGGTTTGAAATCATCATGTGACCAATCTTAATGTGCCAGTTTCAATATGCAAAATAAAGAACAAGATATTATAGTTAACCAAATATAAAACAGCTTCCTTCTGTCACGTAAAAAAAGAAAGACAGAAAGAAAATGTAACTTATTTTTATTTCAGCTAGTAGCCAAAGCAACATTTCTTTAGTTTAACTTGATGTATGTCACGGGTGCACTGCTGAGCGGACTGAGGAGCAAGGAACGGAGAGAGACGAGGAGTACATCAATCCAACTGGGTTTCATTGACACAATGGAACATGGAACACTCACGCTATACATAATGACATTCACATTCAATACCGGACCTTGGAGCACACACAGGGAACACTATTTATACACACAGGAGGAGGGGATGACGAGACACACCTGGGAGCAATGAAACATCAAGGGAAACACCTGGGACAAATTAACTTAACTAATCAGGACAGGAACAGGAAACTAACCAAATAAGGGCATAGGAAGGCACATGGGGAGCAAGACACACACAAAACATGGAACAGAGTCTGACAATGTACTAAAACTGAATCAACTGATAACTAAAACTGAAGTAAAAATGAATAGAAACTACATAGACATATAAAAAAAAAAACTATAATAAAAATGACAAATTAAACAAACAAAAATTAAAGTTAATTTGAAAACAGAAAGTACAAAAATAAAAACTAATTCAAAATATATCTCGATAATATCTCAATCTACTTTTGCTTACATTTAAATTCTGCACACAAAGCTATCATATGACTTCAGAATGCTTGGAATACAGAGAACCAGGCCCGGCACCAGAGGGGGAGGGCTGGACTTTAGTTTCGCGTGTAATATAGTCTAACTCATAGTGTAAAATAGTCTAACTGATTGCTTTTAGATGGAAAAGCTGCCCATAACTCCTGGTCTAGGATCTGTTTTCTTCGTAATAATAGCATAACGAAATAGATTTGGCAAACAATCCAGTGTATCTGCCCTTCTGTTTTGGAAAGCGTCAAATTATTTTACAATGGCCAAAGCAACATTTCTTTAGTTTAACTTGATGTATGTCACGGGTGCACTGCTGAGCGGACTGAGGAGCAAGGAACGGAGAGAGACGAGGAGTACATCAATCCAACTGGGTTTCATTGACACAATGGAACATGGAACACTCACGCTATACATAATGATATGAACATTCACATTCAATACCGGACCTTGGAGCACACACAGGGAACACTATTTATACACACAGGAGGAGGGGATGACGAGACACACCTGGGAGCAATGAAACATCAAGGGAAACACCTGGGACAAATTAACTTAACTAATCAGGACA